GCCCTCCCAGTTTCCCCACGTAACCCCCCCACCTGCCGCGGCTCTCCCTCCCCTCCCCCAGCTGCATCCTCCTCCTCCTGTCCCCTCTCTCTCGGTCCTCACCAAGTCCTCCCCTGTCGCCTCTTCCCATCCCTCATCGCTTTCTCCTGCTCCCTGCTCCGTCCTTGGGCTCCCTGCTCTGCCTGGCCAGCCCTCTCCCTGTGTCCCCAGTCTGATCCAGAGTCCCATTCTCTCTTCCTCTGGTCCAGCTCCCTTGTCCCATCCCGTCCCCGCCCTGTCCCCTTTGTGCCCCTTCCTCTCCCTCCCTCCCTCCCCGGGCTCGGCATCCCGGCTCCACCTCCAACTCCCCTCAGCCCTGCCTCTCTGCCCCTTCTTGACCCGCTCGTCTCCCCGCTCGAGTCCTGAGCCACCATGCTGACCCCGATGGTGGCTGGGGGGGTGGTGTTCCCCGGACTCTTCCTCCTCTCCAAGAACACGCTCCAGCGGCTGCCCCAGCTGCGCTGGGAGGAGGCCGACGCGGTCATTGTCTCAGCCAGGTAAACGGCATCCCCTTCCCAGCTCAGTCCCTTTCTCCTTCTCAGGCTTTATGGGGACAGAAGGGACCCCATCACCTCCCTGCACCCTTGGCCCCTGTGGGGACGGGGAGCCCCACGGTGGTCAGTGGGCTCTGCTGCCAAGCTCCCTTCCTTCGGGGGTCTTACCTTCCCAGGAGACCTCCCCAAACCAGCCATCTGGTCTACTAGTGTTCAGACTGCTTTTCTCCCCTTCTCCCAGCCACCCTCCCACCTCCCAAACAGGGCCAGCATGTGACTAAAACATTCCTATAAGATGTCAGGGAACAAGGGCTAGAGCACCATGTGTGAATCAGGATGAGTGTTGGGGACGAGGCACAGAGGAGTGAACAGTGGAACTCTCTACAACCCTGGAATTAGGGCCAGCACCCAGAGGGGAGCTCCGTGGCAGTCAAGGAGACAGTGGGAAAGTGGCCAGGGGGAATTTGGGTTCACGGCAGGGCCAGAGGCCCGAGTAATGGGTGGCATGGTGACTGGGCAGCCAAGTGGGGCAGGAACAGCACAGGCTCCCCTTGCCCTCCGGGGCGTCCCCTCCTGGGCAGAGGCTTTGCTCTCAGCCACACATTCCCAGCATTGTTTCACCTCAGGGTGACCTCCCTGTGTCCTGAGAGGAAGGCCACTCAGTATTCACAAGCCAAGGGAAGGGGAAGGCCACCAGGAATGGGGCAAACTGAGGGACAGTGGCAGAGCAACTCAGGACTCTGGAGGTGGTAGTGAATCTGGGAAAGCCCCGTCTTGGGAGGTGAGCCAGGAATGGCCTGAGAAGTGACCAAACCCAAAGCAAATAACTACTAGTGAAGAGGAGATGTCAAGGCACTCGCCTTCCCACCTGCCACTCCTCCCTCTGTCTCCCCAGGTTAGTGTCCTCCGTCCAAGCCATCATGGCCTCCACAGCTGGCTACATCGTCTCCACCTCCTGCAAGCACATCATCGATGACCAGTAAGTGTCACGCACCCACTTCTGCCCAAGTCCCTCCTCTGTTATGTGTGTGATCCCAGAATACCCGAGATCCTCCGGGGAGCCACCAGTGGTCCCCATGCTCTTCACTTGGGCCTGAGCAAGTTTTACTGCCACAGCTGCAACTCAACACCAGGGATAAATTTATCCTGTCTTGTCCTCAAAGGTCAGAACCCGGAGAGCAGAAGTAGGGATCAAAGAGAACCCTCAAAGCGGTTCCTGGTCAGCTTCCGGGCCTCTTGTATGGTAGTGGGCTCTGAATGTCACTTCCTCTGTCTCCACCTACACCACCCCTCAGACCCACCTTCCAACAAACTCATCTGCCGTGCTCTCCTCTCAGGCCGGGCTCACCCCTTAACTCCACCCAGAATTCAGGTGTGTCGCCCCAGCTCCTGAGAGAGGAGAGATGACACACGAGGCCACTGAGGTCAGGCAGTGGGGGAAGGGGAAGGGAGGGCGAACAGGCCAAAATTTGGCACAGGCAGCTGCTGCAGTGCCTGGTGCTTGCCAGAGAGGCCCAGGCTGGAGAGGTGGGGCAGGAGGAGGAGGAGGAGGAGGAGGGCCCTGTCCATGGTGCTGACTTGCCTGTCCTGGATGACCACAGGCTGCTGCAAGTTGCCTGCGGCGAGGGTGCCCCTGACACCTGCCCCACTGGTTCTGCTCTCCTTCCCTCATGTCCCTGGAGCCCCAGGTGACATCGTCTGGATGACCCTGATCTAGAGGTGCCCCTGTTCTCTCTTTGCCTCCTCTTTTCCTGGGGGTGAGTTCTTCCTGAGTAGAACAGTTAGTTCTTGGCTTAACTCTTTCTTCAGACCCTGCCCAGACACTTGGCTTCTTCCCGCCTTCTCCATGCTCTTTCCTGCCACAGGGTCCAAGGCAAGCCTGGGCTTCCACGAGTCCCTTTCTCATGCCTTCTTACCCAGAGGTCACCTTTCCGTTCTTGCATTTCCTCCCCCTCCTCCAGGTCTGCTCCTGTCCCTCCTTCCCCCTTTAATCCTCAGGTAGGTAGGGAGGATCAGGGTTAATCCAGGGGCAACAGCTGTTCCTACTTCTGAGCACCTAATTGCTGAGAGGGTGGGGATGGGACTTAACACTCCACATGGCATCCCAGGGCCTGGGGCTCCTCTGCCTCCTCCCCCTCACTCCAGGGTCCCATCTGTCCCATCCCCATCACGTCCACTGGGCCAGCTCTCTGGGCCGCTCCCTGCTATAACTTCTCTGAGGCCAGTTTGGTCCTCTCCCACCTTCTCCCTGAACTACTTGTCCTTTGTTTCTGACCAGCTGCCTCTCCCGTCTCATGCCCAGAACCACCGCGCCATGGGTCTCAAGTCCTCTTCCCTGACATCATCCCGGTGCCAGTGGGCTGCCTGGCCCCTTCCCACCCAGCCTGCCCAGGGCCCACCCCCTGTCCTCAGCTGACCTCTACCCCAGGAGCTCCTCACGTGTGGCCCTGGCTCTTTCTCTGTGAAGTGCCTCTAGCTGACTTTGCGTTTGTCCCCTGGCTAGCTGGGCAGGCTCCCCCAGGCCTGCTTTTTGGACCTTCCACTCCCACCTTAGACCTGTCTCAGGACTGCAGAAAGTGCCACTGTGCTGACTCAAGAAGAAAAATGCAATGTTGCAGATCCACGTGCTTCTCGGGTTTTGTTTACTCTCAATATAAGTAGAACTTCTCTGTCCGCGGCACCTTTGCTCAGCATTTTCTTCTTAATGCTTGGCAGGACCTGAAAAAGCAAGCAATCAGGCCACCTTCAGGCAGAACAAGCAGCACTGGCAGCACCTCTACCTTGCCTGCGGGCTGAGAGAGTTTCCCGTGGTTATTCCTTGGCTTAGCCTTTCTGTGACTCGGTTTCCTCATCTGTGAAATGGAGATGAAAGCCATGCTTACTTTTTTATGGAAGGATTTTTGTTCGTTTTTTTGTACCAAGAAATGAACCCAGGGACACTTTACCAATAAGCCACATCCCCAGCCCTTTTTTTTAACTTTGAGATAGAGTCTTGCTAAGTTGCTTAAGGCCTCACAAAATTGCTGAGGCTGGCCTTGAGCTTGTGATCCTCCTGCCTCAGCCTCCCAAGTTGCTGGGATTACAGGTGTGTGCCACCATGTATGGCTTTTTGTAGGTTTTTTGTGAGGAGTAAATAAGTTTACACAATGTAGAGGTTCGGTATTAGTATGGTACTTGGCTGTACTACATGAGCAATTGGTCTTCAACCATAGGTCTTTACTTCCTGTGTGCTTTGTCCTAATCTGATTCTCTTCATATCTTGCATCTCTGCCCTTTGATCTATAGGTGTTTTCTGGTCTCCTTTCCTTTTCCCCCAAGTATATGAGAGAGAGAGAGAGAAAGAGTGCACGCACAAGTGCAACATGGTGGATTCCGAGGTCTGTCTGTTTGAATCCCAGTCCCAACACTCAGCAGCTGTGTGACTACATGACATTAAGCAAGTTTATTTCCCTCCACCCTTCTGTTCCATCATCCATAACTCACTGTGTTCTCACCTGAGACTTCACTTCCATCTCAGGGTTGTGGGCGTCCCTTGAGATCTGTCTCTGGTGGAGCATCGGGTGCTGTCCATTCCCTCTCCTGATCCCTCCCCCTCTCTTTGCCCCACAGACACTGGCTCTCCTCCGCCTACACGCAATTTGCAGTGCCCTACTTCATCTACGACATCTACGCCATGTTCCTCTGCCACTGGCACAAGCACCAGGTCAAAGGGCATGGAGGGGACGACGACGGGAGACGCGGAGCACGGGGCAGCACCTGGGCCGTGGTGCGCGGCTACCTGCACAAGGAGTTCCTCATGGTGCTCCACCATGCTGTCATGGTGCTGGTGTGCTTCCCCGTCTCTGTGGTGAGTGCTCCCAGAGCCAGATGGCCTGGTGGGGAGGGGGGTGGCGGGGGGCTTGTCCTTCACATCACACCAGCTGCAGGAGCCTGGGAGCCCTCCCAGCAGGATGGGGTGGAGGGACATTTCCTGGGTACCCGCCCAGCCCGGGTCACAGGAGGCACAAAGGTCTAGAATCAGCCTGGCCCAGCGGGACCGTGCCCAGCTGTGGCACTTCATGGAGCCTCTGCTGCATGTCCCTGAGCCTCGTCTCCTCCCCTGTGGTGTGAGGCGCCATCTTACCTGCAGGACTCTAGGAGGGATGCAGAGAGGCGAGGCGCCCAGCTTTGCTCCTGAGATTCTCCAGTTAAGTGACAGGGGAGAGGAAGGGCTGCCCTCACCCTCCTGCCTCTCCTCCCAGGTGTGGCGACAGGGGAAGGGAGATTTCTTTCTAGGCTGCATGTTGATGGCAGAGGTCAGCACCCCCTTCGTCTGCCTTGGCAAGATCCTCATCCAGGTGAGAGGGTACCTGAGGGCGTAGGAGCCTGATCCCAGGGCCCAGGCAGGGCAGGCACTTTCAGGGACCCTCTGGGGCTCTTTAAAGGCAACAGTGTCATGCATGTACAATGTCAGGTGCGGGAGGAGAAGCAGGCTGGGTAGAGGGGAGGCAGCAGTGGGGGGTGGTTCTGGGGCCTCTGACCTGCGGGAAGATGGGCAGAGGGTGCGCAGGGGGGACAGGGCCTCTGCTCCCCGCCCTGTCACCTATGCTCTGTCCGCAGTACAAGCAGCAGCACACGCTGCTGCACAAGGTGAATGGGGCCCTGATGCTGCTCAGCTTCCTGTGCTGCCGGGTGCTGCTCTTCCCCTACCTGTACTGGGCCTACGGGCGCCACGCCGGGCTGCCTCTGCTGGCCGTGCCCCTGGCCATCCCGGCCCACGTCAATCTGGGCGCCGCGCTGCTGCTCGCCCCCCAGCTCTACTGGTTCTTCCTCATCTGCCGCGGGGCTTGCCGCCTCTTCCGGCCCCGAGGCTCCCCGCCACCTTCTCCCTGTCAGACCCAGGATTGAGGGTGGGGCCTGGGGACCCTCCCCACCTGCACCCCCACACAGGGACAGGGCTCTGGGGCCAGTGGGTGGGGGTTGGGAGCCAGGGGCCCCTTGCCTTGACAGCCCCAGGACTGACCGATGGACTCAGAGGGGGAGGGGCATCTTCCCTCAGGGGCTAAGAACAGGAGCAGGTGACCATAAGGCAGGGAGAGAGGGGACCTCTCTCAGGAGCCAGGCTGAGCCCCTTCGCACCCCCTGCGCTGGGACAGCCAGGAAAGGGGAAGGGAGCGCACTTCCCACCTGCCAAGGGCTGGGGGGCCTGTGGGGAGACAGGGACTCAAGGGGACCAGGAGTCAAGGACATGGGGGTGGCCTGCTGCCAAGGACATACATCCCAGCCCCTCTGCTGCAAACCCCTCTCTGCTCCCGGGTCACCTGGGAGAGAGGGGACACCCTGACTCACCCCGCGGGCCTCCTGAGGGCTGGCTGCTGCCTCACAGCTCCTCTCCAGGGAGGCCGGCCTGAGGGATTTTATTTATTTTATTTATTCGCCCAAATTCAAACTGATTTGCTGGGGTGGGGGAGGGAGGTGGCTGCTACCCCCACCCCCAGCCTTCCCAGTGCTGAGCAACCCCGGGGGGCCGGTGAAGGGCACCCAGCCCCTTCCCATCAGGCTGCACATCTTGCCCTCCGGCCCTGGCATGTCCCTGGTGCTACAGACCTCTCAAGGCTTCCTCCAATCTGGGGTCGGGGGACCCTGGGAGGTGCTTTACAGACCGCTAATAAAGACGATCTGCGTCTGCGTGAACGCCACCTTGACTGTCTTTGCCCAGTTCTTTGGGGCCGGGAAGGAAGGAGGTGGGGACCTGGGGAATGTGGAGCAGAAAGACCAAAGAGAGGGCAGCGACCCCACCCCAGCTGGTCACTGAGCAGTCAGGGAGGGAGGAGGCCAGGACCTTTATTTATCAGCAGAGGAGGGTGGATTTGGGCACTCAGGCTGCGTCCAGGGCCCTTGCGAGGCTCCTTAGGCCCCTTTCTGGAAGCTCCTATGGGTATGGAGGTCATAGGAAAAGGTGATCCATCATACCACCTCCCCCAGACCTGGGTCCTCCCACCTCTCCTCTCCCTAGGAAGGTTGAGGGGGAGGGCCAGGGGCATGGGGCAGGCCTCACATGTGGGTGCAGAACTGGAGAAGGAGGAAGAGGAAGGCCACCACCAGGGCTCCCACCAGGATGTGATTGAAGAGCCCAGGGCTGGAACCTGCCGGACAAGGAAGGTCAGGGGCAGCTCTCCTTTAGCCCCCAAGGAGGGAGGCCCCTCTCCCAAACTGGGTCATACCTGATTTAACAAAGACCACAGGCCTCTCTCCAATAAACTGGGCCACAGCCAGAATGCTGGCTTGGTCCGAGTCTGGGTAATCAAAGAAGTCAAGTCTGTCTATGAAGAGTGGAGGCTCTGATCCTGGGGCCAACTCTGGGCTGGGCGCTAGGGTCCAGAGCAAAGTCTGTGACAACAGCCAAGCAGACCCCTGCCCCTGACCCCAGAGGCAGAGGCTGACTCTCGACTCTCAATTTTGTTTCCTCTGGGGTCAGCTGCACTCCCATGAGGGGCGAACACTGGCTGAGACGGGGCGGATGGGAGAAGAAGGTGGGGGGGGAGAGAAAGGCCCAGGGCTGGTCTCCAGTTCCTCGGGGGCATTGTCCCTTATCCCCCAACTGCTTTTCTCCCCTCCACTCACTGGGAGCTTCCCACCTGTTTCTATGGCCCCCAGTCCAGCCAGCCACACCCACATGGGTACCCACTGCCACCGCCTCATGACCCCTTCTTTTACAGGGTAGGGCTCTATGATGTCACAGCTCAGACCCTTTCTGATGTCATACTCTGGGGTGAGAGAAGAGGAGGGAGCAAAGTGCTAGGACTTGGACCATTCCCTCAAACCCTGAAGCAGAATGGGAGCAGTTGGGGCCCACAGAGCCTTCCTAGTTTAGGACAATGTGATTGATAAGACAGTAAGAGCGGTGGTGACCGCTGGGTGTCGTGGTGCAGGCCTGTAATCCCAGCAGCTTGGGAGGTTGAGGCAGGAGGATCATGAGTTCAAAACCAGCTCCACAACAGTGAGGCACTAAGCAACTCAGTGAGACCCTGTCATAGTAGGGCTGGGGATGTGGCTCTGAGATTGAGTGCCCCAAGTTCAATTCCTGGTACCACCACCACCAACAACAACAACAAAGAGTGGTGGTTAGCTCAGTGGCAGAGTGTGTGGCATGTGCTATGCCTTGGGTTGGATCCCCAGCACCACAAAAAATAATAAATTCACAGATAAAAAAATAATAATGGTGGCTCCAGAACTTATATATAGTTGGGACTGGGTGGGGCTATCTTTCCAAAACCTGGGGCCATGGATTTATATATAGGCACATTTTGGGTGTGGGAGATAAGGCTACACACACCTCAGTTGTCTCTTGGGTCAACCACAGGTAGTGTTCATTAATATGACAGGTACTTTACATAAAGCAACTCATCTAGCTACTACAATTTCCTTGTCCCATTAATGGAAGACCAAAACAGCACAAAAGGCGAAAGGAGTAGAGGAAAAACACACTTCCTAGGAGGTGTGTTTCTCTTTCCGGGGTTCCCCCTTGCTTGCATTGTGTCCCCAAGTTCAGGGACACAGGGGTCTTTCCCACCCACCTCCAAACCTTAGAGCTTAGCAGAGAATGAGTCTGGAATCCACGACCAAGAGAAATAGCAGGATTTGCCCACCAGGTGGCAGCAGTGTCCGGGCCTGCGGATCTCACCTCTTCTCACCAGGGAAGGCACAGCTGCACCTCCAGCCCCAGCTCCTGCCTCTTCCCACAGGTTGCATCTGGTGCAGTAGGAAAAGGGACAGCTGGGGACTGGTGGCTTGAGGGGTCGTCAGAAGAATTCCTCTGGCCCATTCCAAGGCAGGTCTCCTGGACATTCACAGAGCCTCTGAAGACTCCTCTGTATCTCCGTTTGCCCTTTGGTGGCTGGTGGGCCCCTCCACAGTCTTTCTTTGTGACTTTCCAACAGCCATCGTCACTCCTGTGCCCTCATCCTGGTTTATAAGAGTTAGCTCCCCTCTGATTGGCAGGTAGGTCGGTGTGTCACAGACATGTTCCAGCCCACCCTGGCTAAGGACATTTGAGGGTCTCCTTGGACTTAATACACAGATGCCTGTCTCTGCCAGTCTCTCAGAGACCCAGTTCCTTGGCTTGCCCCAAAGCCAGACGCATGTCCAGCTTGTGTGGGGGCCTCTGTCCCACAGATGGCACTCCTTCCTCTACTGGGTCCCTCTCTATCTTCCCTGCCTTGGGGACCTCAAAGTACCAGCCCGCCTGTTCCCCACATGGCAAGCTGGGAGTCTCTCACCACAAGAGCCTGTATTTCCTAAACAACAACAAAGCCCAGAGAGGAAAGAACAGGGAAAAGAGGAGAGAAAAATAACCTGAATGAGCCTCGTTGGAACTGGTTCCTATGGGCTGCTTTCCCCTACACTTACCTCTTCGAAGTCATAGGGCATAGGAGGGACAGTGGGGATGGTTCCTGTTTCCGCCCCACAGAGTACTGCTGCTCTCTCTACCAGACCTTTGAATGAGCGGATTATCTGTTCATCTATTTATCTAATCATTAAGTAAATGTATTGAAGGCCAGGCATGGTGCCTCATGCCTGTAATCCTAGCAGTCTAGGAGGCTGAGGCAGGAGGATCCCAAGTTCAAAGCCAGCCTCTGCAATTTAGTGAGAACCTACCTCAAAAAAGGGGGGATGGGTGGGACTAAGGCTTAGTGGTTAAGCCCTCCTGGGTTCTGGACTCCATCTCTGACTTCTATAGGAATCACCAGGACAGGGCTGGGGATATAGCTCAGTGGGTAGAGTGCTTGCCTTGTATGCACAAGGTCCTGGGTTCAATCCCCAGCACCACCAAAAAAAAAAAAAAAATCACCAGGACGTGTTTCTTCCCCTTGGGATCACAGGAGAGAGAACCCATGGATGCACATCATTCTAGTAAAGGTCTACACTTGCTGTCTACACTCCTTCACCGTAAATGAATTCTTCAACCTCTTCTGATATGACTTCATCCCCACCCGTCCACTGAAGCCACTTTGGTCAAGTTCACCAGTGACTTCTTAATTTGCCAAACTTAATGGTTACTTCTTGATTCATTCTCTCTCTCTCAGCAGGGTGCCCCCATCCCTGACTCTGAGCACAGGAACCACCCTCGCCAATTTTCGAGATTTCTTCTCTCGCCAGCTCAGCTTTGGGTCTTCTCTTTTCTAACTATATTCTCTCCCTAGGTGATCTCATCCAGTCTCATGGCTTTAAATACCATCTATATGCTGGTGACTCACCAATGTATATTTCCAGCCTAGACCTCTCCTGGGAGCTCCAGACTCCCATATCCAACTTCCTACTTGAAGTCTTCTCTACGTCCAAAAAACATCTCGAACGCAATAGATCCCAAACAAGGCTCTTGATTCTCCTATTCCAGACCTTCTCCTGACCCTGTCTTTCCATCTCAACCAATGGCCTCACCATTCCTCTGAGATGATGTGCTTGACAGAAACAGAGATCCTTCCCTCTTACCTAACAAGCCCCAAATTAAGACCTGTGGACTCCATTTCCAACCGAAATCTCAAGTCCACCTACTTTGATCTGCTTCCAACCTTTTTTCCTTGTTCACGCCAAGGCCATGTCCTATCTGGCTTACCTCAACAGGCTCCGGGGGCGTTGTCCATACTTATAATCTCCATGATTTTGGAAGATGGAGGCAGGAGGATTGCAAATTTAAGGACAGCCTCTGCAAGTTAGAAAGATCCTGTCTCAAAAATATAAATAATAAAAGGTTGGGGATGTAGCTCAGTGGTAGAGCACCCCTGGGTTCAATCCTCAATACTGCAAAAAA